AAGCCCCAAACTAAAACCCATTTTTATTGCTTGAAAGCAAATGTACATCCTAAGAAATCTTCTTTTCCCTTCAGCAAGTGATTTTTGAAAGATTGATAACAATATCACTTCCAGGATTACTTTTCCTTAATGCAATAGCATAAGCCTCAGGCTTATAGTATTCATCAGTAAAACTGCCCTCTAGAGTCTCCAATACCATCCTCTTTGCCCTCTTGCACTTCCCATGACTAACATTTAACTCAAATATCCTCTTCAAGTCAGCCCTTATCTCCCTTACCTTATATTTTGGATCATCTTGTAACTTCCTCTTTAAATATTGAGCTATTGTGTGATAGTCAACAGTAGAATTATCAAATGAAGTGCCACAACTATGATTTGGATTTAGGGTCTTAATTTTAACCCCAGCATCCCCTTTCTTGGATACTAAACAAATAAAAGTGCAGTCTTTTGTGTTAGTGCAAGTATACCTAACCCTAATCTTGTCACTCTTCTCCAATTTCAGTTCTTTCTTATTGGCCAAAGAATACAACTTAAGACACTTCCTAGCTTCTGCAGTATCCTTAAAGGTCATACCTTTATACAATTCCTTGTACTCACTAAGTTGTTCAGTTATGTCCCTCTTTTTTTGTGATTTTAACAGTTTCAGCTCTTCAGAATCATACCCATCAGAATCTGAACTAGAGTCAAACCTTATATCACTCGAGCTGCAATTAGTACCAACCTCATTCGCATTATAGTCTACAATATTGGATATACTATGCAAGGGAGGATCACATTCATCAACAACAAATAGGTTGATTACTTTATATTCATTACAAATTAGTTTCAACAAATGTCTAATACCCTCATCCCCTACAATCTCATAAAGTGTACCACAAGGGCCTTCAACTATTAGTTGTTAAATCCTTACATACCCTAGGTTTTCTGCGAACTCATTGACTAAATCAGCAAAAGATAGAAGGTCTGGGTGTTACCCTTTCTTAATGTGCTGCACTTTCTTTGGGTATACCACTTGTGGGTTGTAAATCCAGTCATAGCCATAATTAAATATTAAGTCAATTAATACCATCACTGACTTTCTGCAAACATGCAACAAAGAAAAGACAAAATTTGTTTTAGAAAATAATAAAGAATTCTTGCAAAAGAGGCATAAAAAATAGGAATAAACATATGAGGTCCCCCCTCCCCAACAATAAAGAAAGACAGAATCTGCATTTAGAGTGGCACTACGAGGGCCCTCCCTTAATAAAGAATTTACAACACAACAAATAACCCCAAAAATTCCTGACATGCAAATGATTTAAAGGACCCATTTCTTTACTACCAAACAAAAAGTAACCAAATTTATATGGGACTATCTAGATAACAACAGAAAATGTAAACAATATAAAAATAAGAAACCCTAAACCACCTTTAAGAAATTATTCGAAACCCTAGAACACAAACTCTATACTAGCTAGAACATTCAACAAAATAGCATAACAAATCGACTAAAAAACAAAAAAATGAACAATTTCATGAAGAAGGATGGTACCTTTGAACTCGTCCAACCCAAAATCGCCAAACTGCATGTGCAGATCTTCTATCGCCAAACTTCAGTAAAGAACTCGGATTTAGAAAAGAGAGACAAAACTAGGGCTGACCGGTGTAAAATGAGAAGGGTTTTTATTTAAGTGGAGTCATTTCATTTCATTGGATATGGGTTATTCAAAATGGGTGGGTCGGGTAGTTAATTGTGAGATGGGTATTTAAGTTGGGTCTGAAAATTGCACAGAGATTGAACACGTGTCCCCTCCGTTAATGAAAGGGTACAAATATTCAATACTGTGACGGTAGGGGCTCTAAAGTACCAATAGTATAACAGAGCCTTTCTAAATAAGATATTCAATAGTACATGGGTATATTTGACCCTTTACCGTTAAAACTAACAACCCAAAACTAATTTTAAAATATTATAAATTTTAAGGACGTGTCTCATTCTTATTGGACAAATTTAAACCCCACTCCAAATCTATTAAACCCACCCGTGTAATCTAACCCATTGGATCAACCCGACCCAAAACTGGTGTAGCTAATTGTCGGTTCTGTCTTGTGAATTGGTTTTAGATTCCATGTCTACTAGTTTGAAATCTGCTACGTAAATTTATATTTTACTTCTTTTGTTTATTTGTTACTTCGTTTATCTGTTTACTTTGTTGAAAACGTAGGAAATGCATCTAGTTTAATTAAATTTTGTTAGGTACTCAAAGTCTCAAACAGAGTATAATTGTTGCAAACTCACATAGGTTACTTTATTTAGTGTCTTAATTAAACCTTCATTCCCTGGCACGACACAAACGAGAGGTTGAGCTTAATGGCTTGATTGTCACTCTTTAGCAAATAAGTTCAATGAGGCAGTGAAGATATTCATTCTTACTCATCAGATGGTTGAGCTTTGCTATATCTTGGCAGCTTACGACGGTCTAATGAGATATGGGAGCTATTTAGATTTATGTGTCTCACAAAGGCTTCTTAAGCTTATGACCAAGAAAAGGCTAATCTGAGCTTCCCATATATCTGTTTGCGAGAGACAAAAGAAGCAGAAGAAGATTCAGACATTTGAATCTAAAACTAGATTAGAGGAAATCTAAGAACTATAATTTTTTGAGTTGGGAGAGGAAGAATATAAAGAACCCTAATTAATAAAGGAAGAAGATCAAATAGCTACGTCGTATTTTAAGAAGAGAGCGCGGGTTCTTTTTTGGGTGTAAAAATTGCACGGACGCCCTATTTGGTGCCCCCATTTAACCTATACCAATTTTTTTTAAAAGTTTTAACTTGTACCTACTTTTTAAACAATTTGAACCCCATTTCTCCTCCTCCTTTTTCTCCTTCGTTTTCTTCTTCTTTTTTTTNACACAGATTTTCGATAGTCATGGTTGAACTCCATTGGAGAAGAGTAAAATATTGCAAGGAAAAAGCTTGGATGAATAATCAATCACTCAAAATGATGAACAAAATTCAAATCATGAACGCCTGGAAGGTAGGCAGCCTTCTTGTCTTTCTGTCTCCAGTCATTAATGTGTTGTATAAAATATTACGACAACAATAAATACTTAAATAATACTTGTACGACATAGTAGTTCCGCAGCAGAAACCAGACTAGCATTTTCTTGTGTGAGAACAAGAGCAAATTAGAAAAACTTCAGCTCTAGAGCTGAAGTTCGCCAGTTACAAAACAAAAACTTCAGCTCTAGAGCTGAAGTTCTCCAGTTACAAAAACAAAAACTTCAGCTCTAGAGCTGAAGTTCGCCAGTTACAAAACAAAAACTTCAGCTCTAGAGCTGAAGTTCACCAGTTACAAAAACAAAAACTTCAGCTCTAGAGTTGAAGCACACTTGCTACTTCAATCCCGTCTACTAGAATGCTGAAGTTTTGCGTGATTGTCTTTGCTACTTCAGCCTCGTATACTGAAGTTACGCGAAAAAGTGAGAACGCTTGTAATATTTTTTGCAAAGCGGGCATAAGTTAAAACGTGATCCAAAAGCGGATATAGATGCAAATGCCCCTTTTTGGGTTGGGTTGATAGGTCAGGTTATACGGGTGGGTTTGATAGATCTAGAGCGGGGTTTAAATTTGCCCAATAAGAATGAGACACGTCATTAAAATTTATAATATTTTTTAATTAGTTTTGGCTGTTAGTTTTAAGGGTAGGTTTGAGCCAAAAATTTAACGGTAGGGATAATTTTGGCTCAATAGATAGACGGAGGATAATTCTGTACCAATTCGGATAGTTCAAGGATAGTTTTGGCCCTTTTCCGTAAATAATAGCTATGACTATAAGTATATCAATAACGATGATAGAGGTTGACAACATTGTTTTGCAAAAAATTTAGTTCACGCCCTTTGAAAGTAAACCCAAGACCTCTAGTTACAAAGGTGTCTCTTTAAACAAAAGGACCGTAGAATTAAGGTTGTCATTTTTAAGTTCAATTTATATAGTCATTTTCATTTCAATACTGCTCTTAAATTTAGATTCTTACACCGTTTGTTAATGTTTCATTAATCGAACGTGTTCAACAAAAAAATTAACATCACATTGTGACATCTAAAGTATGTTTACCAGCTCTGTTAGAACTATAAGAAAAAAAATTAAGATTAGGTGCTACAAGCAGGCTGCATGGTTTATTGTATAATTGGGGGTGCAGGGTAAGGAAGGACCACCAAAAGAGAAGCAAAAAAAGAATTCTTTTATTCGATTTTACATGACACTCAATTCCTAAAAAGGGACACCTTTCGGAAATTTGCAAATTTATTAATTTTGAACTTTTCATTCTACCTTAGAAGTTATAACATGGTTTATAGCCAAAGAAATATAAACATCTATTAGAGGGTGCTCAATCAAAGACCGCCATATAAAATGAAAAGGAATGAATAATATATATGAGTGTAATGGTTTTTTTTATTTTTTATTACTCGATGTTAAATCTTCCCTTTGGACTGTAAATATAAAAATGGGAATATTTTGGTGCTCATTAATAAATGTCGTAGTCCTCAACTTATTTTTGGTACAGTTTCACTATGTTTGATCAAGGTGTAAATTAGTTCTTTTAGAAACTTATACAATGTAATCTAGCATTGTCATTTTAAATCTAAGGTATGATCCTATGTATACAATATAGGTATGGCGGGCCCTATCCCGATCTTATGATGTTACGTGACTCTTAAAGGCTTGCAAATAGATGTCTTGTGTATAAATACGTTGCACGGTCTTGTCGACCTCTGTTTTGAGGTACAGGTGATCATGGTGGCCTTGTCGCGTCTATATACTTATGTGTGTCATTTTGGGACGCAAGTAATCATATAGCTTTCTATCTTTATTCAGAATGTTACATGGTGGCCTTGACGGCCTGTTTTCATATTAAGTTGGTTGTTGAATGACTTACATGGGTGCTCGGTAAGTAAGGCCGGGTGCCTCCGTTTTGGGGTGTGACAAACTTGAAATGAATAACACCATAATATTCATTATCAGCTCAACTTCCTTTTAACTTTGAAATTTCGGACGTTTCAATTCAAATATCAACATTGTAAAATTTCCAAACAAATCTTCCTTAAACTTACTTCCTTATCTGGAGAAAAACTGATACAAGCTGCTCAAAACTATGCAAGAATAGGAGAGTTTTCACCTCCACATTACATGAAAAAGAAGTCTACATTTCAAACATGTGGTGTGGTTCAAGAAATCTTGTCCCAAGCTCAACAATCAATGGAAATGCAGTTTTGAGCCATAGCTGCAGGATCATCTTTGGAGACAAATGGATTAATCTTGACCCAAACAAGTGAAAAAACAGAAGCCAAGAGCACAGACCATAGCACAACAATGGTTGGTGTTCGATTTTGGCGTCCCATGAGACCTTTGAGGAATGGATAAAGATGAAGGATCACCCAAAATGAGAAGAAAACTTTGCCAAATAAAGGCCCCCAAGCTTCATATCCTTTGTTGAGTGCATCAGAGAAACCAGCAACAACACCAACTAAGTTAAGAATGAGAATTGTGGTTGGAGGGATCAAGACTGTTGTCCATTTGAAGATGTAGAGATCGCCAAACTCTCCATCATCTGCAGCTTTGGCTGTCACCGTGAAGTTTGTGTCTATACCGGCAAGCATTTTGAGGAATCCTTGGAAAACTGCAAAGAGATGGGCAGAGACACCTCCAATCACCCAAAACTGCTCGTTACGCCACCAGTCCTCTATGCCTATACCACTCCATCGTAGCTCGAGCACACCTGTCACTATAATGGAAAGGAAAAGACCAAGGAACAGTATACTCGCAACGTTTGATAGCTGCATACAAGGCACAAAAATTTGATTCAGTAATAGAAACTAAAGAAAAAGCAGCCTCAATACCAGCTCCAAATAATATGCACTCATTTTCAGTGTGCACTTCTTAATTATAAAGTTGGAAACAAGGCTCAGAGAAGTGGAAGATTTACCGTAGGAATGATGAATTTTCCTGTAAGAAGGCAAACAGCAGGAATAGTACAGTAAGCAATGAGGGGAAGAGAAGTGAAAGGATAGACAATGGTGTTGGTGTAGGCAAGTCTTTGGAGCCATTTGAGGCGGCCGCCTCCAAATCCATACCACAAAGGGCAATGCCTACTCAAGAAAATCTCCACCGATCCAAGAGCCCATCGAAGAACTTGGTGCAATCTGTCTGACAAGTTGATAGGAGCTGACCCTTTGAAAGCAGGCCTCAATGGCATGCAGTATATTGATCTCCATCCCCTGCACTGCATCTTGAATCCAGTCAAGATATCTTCTGTCACTGAACCATATATCCAACCAATCTGAAAAGGCCAAACAAAAAGAAAAATAAGTTAAACCAAAAGATCAATCAGAAAGTAGGCTTGAGACTTCAGGGAAAAAAAAAGTCTTGAAAAGAGCAAGAGTCAGTTTTTACTTCTTTTCCCCATGCTGTCTTCTCCTCATAACCACAGCCGATAACATGAATTGCTTCCCTAATCAGTATCGAGGGATTGACAGAATCAGGTACTCCTCCATTTTCCATCAACGTAGACTCGATAAACACGGATGACATGCCAAATGTTTTCTCAAAACTCATCTGAGAGATAAGCAAGGATCTCTCATGCTCGTCATAATCTGCAGACACAAAAATGATAGCTTAATTCCAAGGATAATGGAGCTAAATAAAGGGAATGTTGTCGTACTGGAAAACTCACTTTCAATTTCTCTTAGGTTGAAGATTGCAGAATTTAGATCTTCTCTTTTTGCCTCACGATATACCTCAGTAAGATCCTTCTCTTTGGCTGGTTTCTTGCGGCGACAGCAGCAAGAACAAGATGAAGATGATTTGGGTAATGTAGGCAGGTTAGAAGGACTATAACCATAAAGTGCTTGCCTATTGAAACAACATCCTGTACCGACATACACAGGTCCTTGGATGCCATCCAAACCTTTCATGTTAACCTGAATTCATGATATTAAAAAAGAAGAGCCATCTTAATCCATCTGACACCGCATCAAGAGAATCAATACTAAAGAACTGACATTAAGAGTATGATGTTCAATGAAGCAAGATTATTGTTTCCATTTTCAAATAGATGAAGAAATTCATTAGAGAAATGCTAATTATAGGTGGTCAAGATACTTACATCAAAGAAGACTATGTTTCTGTTAGCATATCTGTCACTTTTATCAATCCCATCAAATCTCTGAGGGAACTGCACATAACAGACGTCTCTGCCAACTTGTGGATCCATTAGGAAACACATAGCCTCACGAATGGCTTTGCTGTTATTGACGTAGTGATCACAGTCAAGATTGAGAATGTAGGGTGCATTTGTGAGAACTGCAGACACCCTTATCTGATAAAGAAAAAAACAGTAAGTTTGTGAAAGGAAGTAAACAAAAATCTTCTGAGATCAATGCTAATGAATTGCTTTTTGAACACACCAGAGCATTTTCAGCACCAGCTTTTTTGTGGTGCTGATAACCAGGTCTTTTCTCTCTTGAGACATAAACGAGTCGTGGAAGTTCATTTCCTTCAATGTCATGTGAACCACTATGTCCCAAGAAAACCTGTGGAAGAAGAAAAATTATGGAGTAACTGACCATCGCATATACTAGAACTTCAAGAAGCAAAATGTGACCTAAAATATATGGAGTATGAACTAAAATGATCTGAAAGCAGCAAGTACAAAGATTTTTGCAAAATCTTCGTTGTGATTTTATTGAAACTGAGATAGGTTAATTAATAAGCACTAACCTGAATCATTCCAGGATGATCACGCGGGTTGTTTCCCGGCCAAGGAGTTCCATCGGCCATGGTCCAGCCATCCTCGGGTGTTTTCTGAGCCTTCGCAACTAAAGCATTTACCCTCACTTTATACTCTTCATATTCTCTCTGCAAATACCAAATATAACCAATAATGTAACCCAACTCTTGAACCATATATATGTTTATCTCATACTATTACAAAACTAGGCTCTTACCTTCATTGCTCTGCGCTCCTTGACAAAAGAAGGCTGCACCTTGTCTTTCAAGTAATCAAACTTCTGCGAGAAGTAGAACTCAGGTGCACGTGGTTCAATTGAAAATTTCTTGCAGAATGGTACCCATTTCCTTGCAAATTCAGAAGTCTCAGCTAGTGACTCAAATGTAAGCATTGAGCCACCATCATCAGATACATAGCAGGAAACTTTCTCGACAGGATAGTCAACTGCAAGGATTGAGAGAACTGTGTTGGCAGTAATCAAAGGAGGTTCTTTCATAGGATCAACTGTACTGACAAAGAAATCCACTGGCGCAAGCTGACAAGGTTCTCCCTCCCTTTCAAACCTACAAAAGGTTCAAACAAAGTTAACTTCTATTAGCAGTGTCATGGAACTGAAAGAGGCAAGAACACAATATATATCAATGTATGCCTAACCTTGCAGATAGCCTGTCAATATATGTCTCTCGGTTGATAGGAGACCATTTAGGGAACTGATCCAACACCCAAGAGAAAGCGAACCAGATCTCACAAATAACAGAAATAAGCCACAGAGGATAGGCACTTTCAACTGGATGTGTTACTCTATAGTGGAAGAAAAGGCACAGAACTATAAATCGGATGATAATCACGATTCTGTATGGAGCAATTTGAGATTTCGGTACAGGAATGATTCTTGAAAGTGGCTCTGCAGCATCTGCTGACCTAGACAAGTTATATTACACGCAATCAATAGATGCATGATGGAAATAGAGCATAATTCAATGTCACTGAAGGTGGATTAAACACCATTGTTTATAACTGGAAGAGTCCTTTTTTCTTGTTAGTTATTTAGATATATAGACAAAAGAAATCAACCCCATTTCAAGATTCTACTTACTGTGGCTTTTCTTCCATCTGCTGCTCAGGTGGAACTTCAGCTTCTTGTGCAACAGTCTTACTTTGGGTCTTCTTTTTCTTGTTTTTCTTTTCCTTCCAACTTTCCACTCTATTCTTCCATATTGGATTCCCAGAGTCATCATGATATTCTTTACGAGGAAATAGCAAGTAAGTTGATAGTGTTCTTCATTAAACTACACTACAATGAGCTATTATGAATCTTGTACAGCAAAAGTTCATATACTTACCACTGTCCACAGTTGAAACAGTACTGATATTTCTAGCATGAACTCCAACATCCTACATCGAGAAAAATAATCACAGAAAATTGTCACCAACTTAAATTCAATGTCATGTTTGAAGAACTAACATAGAAAGAAACATATGAAGTTTCACCGGATATAATTAATACCTGACCAGTATTAAGATGAGAAGCCGTTGTAGTATGGTTAGTAGAAGATTCATGCTCATTTTCTACATCAGCCATTGTCAAGCCCTCTGCACAATTTAACCATGCATAATAAGCATAGAATTATGTTACACTTCCTTTATACTTCTTTTACCAAATTATCACATGGGATCATTAATAAGTTAAATTTAAGATTGACATAAAGCCAAATTGTCAAGAAAACAGATTAATTTAATTACCATTATAAGGAGTTGCACAGCGTAAACATGCATTGCGCCCTTCTTTGATCTCATAATGCAAACAAGACTTACAAACAGGATAATTGCACTCATGACAAGCCACAAAGACTTCACCATTGGAATTAGCTAACCCCACTTGTTCGCCACAAATGTTACATATCGGAACCCCTGACTCCATCATTTTTCCACTCACAAACACACTATTCAATCTTTGCCACAGCTAGCACCCAAGGTGATGCTTTGTTCTTTGTTACTTGCAAGAATATAAAGAAGGAATGTTCACTTAACGTACAAAAGCTAAGGAATGAGAAACATTATTGTAATGGTGAAGGAACGTTTGGAGGGTGGTTATGGCCAGCTTGTAGGTTGAGAAGTTGGTATCAAAGGTATATTTTCAGAGAAGAAAGCAAAGCAAAATGTTGACAGAGATTTTTCAAATATTTGCGGGAATTGGAAGGAATGAGTATGGTTGGAGCTTGTACATCTTAACCAACTAATTGTACCAAACTTTGAGTCAGACTGCAGCTTCAGCCTTCAAGCCTGAGCCACCCCCCACACACCTCCTTTGACACAAGTCAAGCCACATGCCTCTTTTTTCTTTAGATCTAAGTTATGGTGTACTATATTCTAACATTATAAAATGTTTTACATCATAAACAAATTTACGTTACCAATATAGTTAATATGTGATAACAGGTTTAGTTATCATTTTTATTAGGTTACCAATAAATGATTATCAAAAAAAATATTCGTAATTAAGTGATCTAATAAAATTTAAACTCTTCATTTTCATCAAAGAAATTTTTTTCTTAACATCTATAGATTTACTGTCAAAATCAAGGAAGAATAAAAACTCTAACATCAAACAATGTGATTCGGACCGAATATCTTTTTCTTTTCACCTATCTGTTTTCTACTCTCTATCTAAGGACAAATATTTTCGTGTAGATATACAAATATAAAATACAAGTACTGCGAATTAAAATACAAATATTTTTTAGGTCACTCCATCATATAATCCCCCTTCATCCAGTCTGCCCGGAATTATAACTAGGATCAATTTATTCATGTTTTTATGTTCTAATTAAAGATAGTCTATTATCTCAACGAAACAGATTATTCTCTTTCACCAATATATGCAAAGTGCAAGCTCAATAAGACATAATCTCTCTGACTCGACTGTCCTAAATCATCCAGTTCAAATTAACAAGATTAAAATTTGTAACATCAAATATTTGGAAACTCGTGATAATCGGGCGTGAAATTTATGGTAACTTTATATGATGTAAAATAGATGTTAACAAGTATGAAAATGGAAAAAGAATACTTATCTTTACGCTCTGTACACACCAGAAAGTTCAATATAAATGTATTGGACAAATCAATAACATAATATACCAAGAACAGGCCCACAATTAGGTATGCAAGTATTGTAACTGCAACCAATAGATATACCTCACAGTTTCTGTTAGAATATTAGAAGACAAAGGTTGATGGTTATATTGGGCCTATAATTGTAATCAGAATTAGCAGTGGCCCATTCTATGTTGTGTTAGTTGTAATTGGGCCACCGGGTCAAGGGTCAAGGCCCACTATTTATGTTTATTACTTTCATTCTTCTATGTACAGACAATTAATTCATTTTAGACAATAATGAGAAAATATCGGCTCCTTTCTTCTCTTTCTCGAAGCTTCTCTCAAATGCAACATGCCATTCTCCAATCTTCATTTCTTCTCTAGATTCTCAACATCTAATATGGTATCAGAGCGTAGATCCTGGTAGATCACTTCGTTTGCTTCCGATCTATGTTAACCATCTCAGTTTTCGTCAACTTTTGGATTTTCGTTGCATTTATGCTGGATTAGGGTTTTGGCCGAATTAGCTGGAAAATTTCGGGATATATTTTGCTTATTTTCACTGGATCTTTGTCTTCGATGGATGTATTGACTGGAGTTTGACTGGAGTTGACTGATTTGTTCGTCTAATTCGAGCTAGGGTTTCTTCATCAATTTTTGCGCCGCCGGAAGTTTCTTCTTCTTTTCACAAGGTTGTTCTCTTTTCGGTTGCAAAAGAGGGAGGTAAATTAGTTTCTTCTTCATATTTCATAACTTTGTTGGCTATTGTGTTTGTTGTTCTATATTCTCTCGATGACGAATGATAATCCTGTCATTACGCCTTCCTCTTCATCCATTGCACCTCGTACTGTGTTTCATGAGGATGATTTTACGCATCCTTGTCATCCTCTATATGTGCATCCATCAGATGTACTAGGAACCTCTTTGGTTTCTAGTCCGTTTGATGGCACCTGCTATGGCAGCTGGAGGAGAAACATTTTAGTTGCTCTCTCCATTCGGAATAAGCTTGATTTTATTAGTGGTTCCTCTACATAGCCACTTCCTGGGTCCCCTCTGGCACGCCAGTGGCAAAGATGTAATGATCTTGTGGTTTCATGGTTGATCAACTCTTTGTCAAAAGAAATATCTCGTAGCATAGAATATTCTAAGTCTGCCAAGAAAATTTGGTGTGAATTGGAAGAGAGATATGGTAAGGGTGATGGGGCTAGAGTCTTTGAACTAAAGAAAGAATTAGCTCATATTTCCCAAGGGTCTTTAGACATAGCTTATTATTTCAACAAAATCAAATAACTCTGGGATGAGATAGTATCTTATAAGGTTAGAGTTTGTACTTGTGGGGGAAAGCTGCTGAGGATGAAGAGCAGAAGGTTTATCAGTTCCTTATGGATATGAATGATACCTATATGCAGACTCGCAACAATATTCTAATGATGAAGCCACTTCCATCTGTTGGAAATGTGTACAGTATTATATTATCTGATGAAAAACAAAGACAAGTGTCTTCTACCTCTCAATTCTCATCTCAATCTGCTTCATTTCATGCTAGGATTTCTAAGCCCTCATTTCCCTCCAAGGTTTCTTTTGAGGGCACCAGGAATTCTCTTATCTACAAATACTGCAAAAAGCCTGGTCACTCAATAGATAAATGCTATAAGTTGCATGGGTATCCTTCTAATTTCAAGTTTAGCAAAGGACCTCCTCCTCGCAGATCTGCTGCACATGTTGAACTTGACTCTTCTGGTGTTTTTTCTGCGCCTGGTAGTTCTGTTGGTCCAGCTAAGCATGAGGAGTCTTCTGTGATACCTAGCCTCACTAGGGATCAATACTCCCAGCTGATGACCTTATTACAACAATCCCAAATTTATGCTTCCCCACACTTTCCACCTCTCTTTGCTTCTGCTAACTTTGCTAGTAAGCTCATGCCTTATGAGGGTGTCTCTTATGGAACTTGTATGTTATCTAGTGTGAATGACATTGTTTGGATAATAGACTCCGGAGCTACTGATCATATGACTTCCATTAAAAGTTTACTTTTTGATATAATCACTCTTCCCATTCCTTATATTATGTCTCTCCCAAATGAGTATAAAGTAAAAGTCACCAATGTTGGCTCTTTAGCTTTATTCCCTAATTTAATCCTTCATAATATTCTTTACATTCCCAGTTTCAATCATAATCTCATATCTGTTCAAAAACTTTTAAATCATTGTGATGATGTTGTTCAGTTTACCAAGTCTGCTTGCACATTCCAGGGTCCTTCAATGAAGAAGCCAGTGGTGCTTGGTAGACTGGACACTGGACTTTACAAGCTATTTCAGCATGTGACTTCACCTATTGACCCTGTTCATGTCAACTATTGTTCTTCAGTTGTTTCTTCTTTGCCTGTTTCTTCTTTACCTGTAGTCTCTACTACTGATGTCAATGACGATTCATCTGTAAATACCATGGTTGCTTCAAATAAAGTGAATAATTCTGATGTTGTTTGGCATTATAGACTTGGACATATAACATTTTCCAAAATGAAGTTTATTTCTGGTATTATTAGTGATTTGTCTTCTAAACAGTCCTTCATATGCCCTATTTGCCCCTTAGCAAGACAAACTAGGCTTCCTTTTCATGATAGTTCTATTCAGTCCACTCATTTCTTTCAGCTTGTTCACATAGATACTTGGGGTCCTTACTCCACTCCTACTCACTCTGGTGCTAAGTATTTCCTTACTATAGTAGATGACTACACTAGGGCTACCTGGACACACTTAATGGGGCAAAAAGCAATGTTTTTGACCTATTGAAGGCCTTCATTTCCATGGTTGAAATACAATTTCAAACTAGAGTCCAGACTGTGAGGAGTGACAATGCTTTAGAGTTAGGTTCTTCTTCTTCTGGGTCCCTTTTCTTTTCTGAAAAGGGAATTATTCATCAAACCTCTTGCCCACACATTCCACAACAAAATGGTGTGGTAAAGAGGAAACATAGACACTTGCCAGAAACTACTAGGGCTCTTTTATTTCAATCTTATCTTCCTATAAAATTCTGGGGAGACTGTCTCCTTACTGCCACCTATTTGATAAACAGATTCCCTTCCCCCCTTCTCAAAAACAAGAGTCCTTATGAACTACTTTTTGGCAAGGCCCCCACATATTCCCATCTTAGATCTTTTGGTTGCCTTTGCTATTCCACTATGCCTAAAATCTATAGAGATAAATTTCATCCCAGGTCTATCCCATGTGTTTTTCTGGGCTACCCTTTTGCCAAAAAGGGTTATAAACTTTACAATCTCACCACTCAATCTTGTTTTGTCTCCAGAGATGTAATTTTCCATGAACACATTTTTCCATTTCTTAAACCTTCTCCTTCACCATCCCTTGTCTTGCCTTCTCCTCTCTCTCCTGGTCACTTTTCTGATGATTCAACATCTTCTATACCTACTTCTATTCCTGGTCATTCTTCCCCGCCTATTCTTCCTGCCCATATTTCTCCTGATTCAACTTCCTCTCTATCTCCTTCTATTCCTATGCCTTCCCCTTCTATTTTCACTCCAGATCTTTCTTCTGATGTTTCAACTTCTCCTTTATCCTCTCCTGCTCATATTTCTTCTACTCCATCATCTGATCATCCTCCTCTTAGAAGATCTAGTAGGCTCATAATGTCCCTGCCTATCTTTGGGACTTTGTATGTTCAATGCTTCCTACTTCTCTTTCTGCCCCCGTTTCTTCTAGCTCTGAGTCTGTATCATTCAATGCAACCACTTCACAGCTCCATATTCCTGAGCCTTACACTTACTCACAGGTTGTTGCTGTCCCTGAGTGGCAGGAGGCTATGAGAAAGGAGTTTGAGGCTTTGGAGGCTAATAGAACTTGGGATATTGTTGAGTTACCCCTGGTAAAAAGCTTATAGGCTGTAAATGGGTATAGAAAGTAAAAATATAATGTTAATGGGACTCTAGAGAGGTATAAGGCCAGGTTAGTAGTTAGAGATGATACTCAGGTTGAAGGGGTTGATTTTTATGAAACCTTTTCTCCTGTTGTCAAAATGTCTACTGTGAAAACCCTCATTGTTGTGGCTATCAAACAACACTGCCCCTTGTTCCAGCTTGATGTTAATAATGCCTTTTTACATGGGGATCTTGATGAAGAGGTTTTCATGAAAATGCCTCCTAGTTTATCTATTTCTCCCTCTTCTTCTTGTTCTACTCCTTTGGTTTGTAACTACTCAAATCCCTTGTTACAACCCATATTGTTGTACGTGAAAGTACGTCGTAAGTCCGTTGATGTAAGTTCAGAAATGAGATCCTCTTGGAAAGTATATAAAGTGATTTAATGGTGTTACATCCCATATTTATTTGGAAGCCTTTGAGAGTTAATATTCAAGGATAAATGTTTATAAGGGTACATGTTGTTACACCCCGTACTTCAGATGTTACTATCATTATAGGATTATCTAATGTAAACTCAAAAAGGATGAAATCCTTCTACAAGGACAAGAAAGGTTTGCCGAAGTGTTACGCAAGTTAAGATGAATATAAGACTTATTAATCATGATTTAAACGAGTTAAAAGACATTATATGACTATATATGATGTTTGAATATGAAGTATAAAGTTTGAGAAAAATCGGATTTAAGTTGCGGAAAAATCGACTAAGAAATTGCCTTGTAATGGAGTTTTTTTGAGTAATATATTCCGTGTGCTATATGAGATCTTTTTGGGACATATTATATACCAAATTGAAGGTCTTGGAATGTAGTTTCTAACGCTCTTAACCGTTTGTTCATACGACATCCGGATAAAATGATATAAGCTTTTGAAAAAGGGCCAATGAGAGAGTGGCACATGACACCTTTTTGACTTTTAGAAAAAGGGATGTTTATCTCTCTATCTCGTCACTTACTTTGGTTTTCCAGAGAGCTCGACCATATAACACCCCTAAACTCATCCTCAAGTCCTCCATAAGGATTTTCAACGATACTATCATCCGAGGCACGAAATTACGAAGCAATAACACAAGAACGATCCCCACGACGTAAGTATTGCTATATAACCTCTCTTTTTCTTTGTAGTTTGAGTTTTGGAAGGTATTTTGAAGTTAATAAAAATGCCTAATTTCTGGTTTCAAGATCTTAAATATCAATTAAGGTTGATTAATTCATTTCATAATATTTAGAACTCACGGGACGGTGATCGGAAGCCGTGAGTTCGAGTTATTTGACTTGTAATGGACTGTTTTGTGGGCTGTTTCGTGTAGTTTTTGGGGCTGTATATTTTGCTGCTATTTAATGGAGTTTTTGGAGGATAAACGGTGTGGAGAAACACCACATATTGGTGAAATAATGGATTAGACATTCTTTATAATATTTTCGGGGTATTGGACACTACTATAGTCGTTATTTTTGGTATGAATTGATTGGGGTGTGTTGGGCTGTTGTAAGCTAACTATAACATGGATTTCGACTTGTAGGAGGTTATTATATTGTTTTCCAACAAGTGCTTAAGATTATATTGACATCGGTTGAGTTAAATGGATGAACTAGACATGAACTAGTGAATAAAGTTGTTAATTAAGAATAATTGGAGTTGTGGATTATTTTCTTTGTTGTGGATATATGGTATAAGGCTGGAATTATTGATGAATGACCTCATTATCATGTTAAAAATACTATTAATTTAAAGTAAAAAGTCTATAAAGGATGATATGGGATATACGAATTCCAATTGGAGCTTGTCGCTCGTCGTAAAATAGTTATGACTTGTTGTTATTTTATGGTGTCTTGTTATTGATAATTATGTATTGATGGATTTCTCTGGTAATTGTTGTTGGTATATGGTATTGGAGGAGGCTCTTGTTACAGGGGAGATGCTGCCCGAATTTATATAAATGAGCTACAAGTTTAAGTTGCAAACTTAGCCTTTATTCAACACTGATTTTGAATCTCCTTATGCAATGGTAGATTGAGTTGAGTTGTTTGAAGAGTTGCTTGAGAGATATTAAGGACTCACCATGGTTAAGGTATGTTAATGCACTTCCCTCTTTCGTTTGGCATGATCTAAAGTGAAATGAATACGTTATTTCATAACAGATCTACTCATAGAAACTAAGGTTGCCCATGTTGTTCTTTCCTTATAAAGTTATTCTAAGCAAGTATGTATGATCCTTGAATCCTATAGAAGATCATATTGATGGTATGATGTCCATAATGTTAATCGAAGGTGCAACGACCTTAAGTCACTCCAAAAAGGTTTAGAACGTGATTCCATGAGTTTAGCATGCATTATATATAATATCTATTTTACTCTACCGAGCCGCACTATAGTAGGCCGGGTACGACATCTATTGTGTAACCACTGATCAGTTGGATTTACTGAGCTCCACGTGGCCGGGTACGATTCTACCGAGCCTTATGATGGCCGGGTACATTTTTACCGAGTCCCCTTTGAGGTCGGGTACGATATGATGATGATGATTCCTACAGACGCGTATGTTTTTAAAAGTTTATGTGTATATGTATTATGCATTTCATGTCAGTAGCCCACAGAGGCACGCAGATGTTACAGGTTGTATCTCCTCTATCTCTCTTTATATTACTATTCTTGTTTATGTTTCATGCCTTACATACTCGGTACTTTATTTGTACTGACGTCCCTTTTGCCTGGGACGCTGCGTTTCATGCCCGCAGGTCCCAATTTATAGGTTGACATTCCTCCTAGTAGGCTATCAGCTCAGCGGAGGTGTTGGTGCACTCCACTTGCTCCGGAGTTGCCTATTTGGTCAGTATGCTTTGGATATGTATTGATTGATATGGTGGGGCCCTGTCCCAACCTTTATGATTTTATGTACTCTTAGAGGCTTGTAGGCATATGTCATGTATATGAAAATCTTATGGCCTTATCGGCCTATGTTCAGTGTATGAGTTATCACTTTGGTTTTATAAGCACGTATGTCACATGTATAAGTTTCCATGTCATGTCAGGTCGTCCAATATTTAGTATTCCATTATATTTTATTTTTGTTATCTCATGACGACCTTTCTAGGCTATTTACCCATGATATTATGATATGACAGATACGTTATGTTGGTACTCGATTAAGTAAGGTACCAGGTGCCCGTCACGGCCCATCGGTTTGGGTCGTGACAGAAGTGGTATCAGAGCAGTTCTATCCTAGGGAGTCTATAAGCCGTGTCTAGTAGAGTCTTGTTTATAGGTGTGTTGTGCACCACACTTATAAGCATGAGGCTACAGGGCATTTAGGACTGTCACTCTTTCTTCTTATTCTAGATCGTGTGCTAGAGCTCAGTTATAAGAATTCAAACTCCTAAATTTTCTTTTATTCATAATACAGTGATACCTACATCCAGAAAGATAGTTGGTAAGAGATTGAATTTTGATGCGAAAGAGTTGATTCAAAGGACTCAATTTTGCATCATGCTTATGATGACTAAATATGAGGTCTTCAGCAGATCATATGTGTATTAATATGTGTAAACTTCTTGTTAAGGAGCCCTAAGACAAGAATATCTATCCACTCGTATGGTAAAAAAGAATAAGAGAATCGGAAAGTAGACACAAGTTTCAGCAAGTAACACAAGCAAGATGACGAAGGGTACGAGGTACCTAGTTAATGAAGATTATCAGTATTTACAATTCAGGCAGAGAAATATAAGTATTGGTGTTACCTTCAATATTATGGAGATATATACAATTGACCACACCCATCTCAGTTATGCCCTATGGGAGCCAACAAATATAGTTTAAGAGAAGAATATGATATCAAGATTCAGTTCGGGTTTGAGTAACCCAAAAATTGTGGATGGATTGTTATCATTAACTAATGTTTCCGAAAGATGGTGCAAATGTGGTAATATATCTCCTTGTGAGATAGACAAATGGTGAACTCTAGAGTAGTACAATCAAATATAAATACTGGAATAATCAAAAATTTCTGAAGATAGGAAGTGGGATCCTAGAAGGGACAAATATTTACCTTAGTATGACTCTAGCCCCGAGTAAAAAAAGGAGAATGTTAGGCATTCCAATGAGCCAGTGAGATGAAGCTAGGGAAGCAAAAAGGGAAAGAACTTTTTGTTGGAATTTTCAGAATAAAGTGATAGATAAAAAGTATTATCCGGAGAATAAGAAGAGAGTAAATGAAGCATCATGAGTAAGATGTGATATATGGGTGATAACAGTAAATCAAAATATGACACGATGATAGAGTCCATAGTCAAGTGACGGAAAATACAAGAGGTGATAGGCCTTGAGGCAATAAAAGAGTATAAGCCATAAACTCATATCCTTATTTCGAGAAATGAGTTGGTGACTTCAGCGTGATTACAAGGAGGAAAGGTTAGACCTCAGAGTAATAAAAATCAGTATGGGCTGGTGAACAAGATAAACTGAACATGAATTAGGGACTGAAGGATTTTATAATGGTTGATATCATGAGAATTTTAGAGATAACATTCCGACAATAATAGAATGGACAACAAAATAATAACCTTTAAGGTTCATTTAGGAAGATGCTTCCCAAAGCAAGCGCGTGGAGCAGAGTTAAGGTTAAGGGAGTAAGTGTGCCAGTTACACTAAGTGTCACCCTTGTGCGTAATAAATTCAATTATCCCCGGTATAGAGAGGTTACCACAAAGCGAGTAAGATGTTAGTGAAGATGTGAAAAAAATGACAAAATGAAGAGGTAACTATGGAATAGTAAATGAGAAATGCGGCAAAAGGGTGAAAGGAATGAGATTGCATCTATTCAGATCCTATAGATATGATATGACTCCAGAACATTATGCAAGCATGATGCCGGAGAGAAGCGTAAGGGTTACACACTCGATGATATTGATAAATAAGTATAAATGAACACTTGATACATAAGGAGCCAGTGTGAGAGGTAACTTAAGACAAAGTAATTAACTA